GATGTGGAGTGACATGAACTAGTTTCAAACCTCTGCCCGACCACCAGTTAGCCAGAGAGCCTTAAGCAAGTCACCCAGTCTCAGGCGCTTCCCTGTCTCTGAGAAGGAGCCCGCCCCTGCCTCGGCGGTTTGTTGGGGTGATTGTGTGTGGGCACGCGTGGGAAGCACTTAGCCCAGGGCCCAGGACTGAGTAGTCAGCACATGGTCTTTCTTCCCCCCACTCCCCACCCCTCTCACCAGGCTTGCTGGACAGGAGGATGGAGGTCTGGAACGTGACATATATAAAAAAGACCCTGCGTTTCATTGTTTCAGTTGAATGTTTATCCAAAATACTCTACAAACTTTATCTCCCTGTTGTTAAGCTTCGCAGTGTGGGCACTGAGCGGAGTGTTGATACCTCTAGGATTGCTGATGAGAGCCCTGCCAGAGCGCCCTACACTATGGTCTGTTGTGCCCTCGGGCAGTTAACATTCGACGGTTTTGAGTTGCCGGCTTATTCTTGGAACGTAGTCTTACTGCTCCCATGAAAGAATTGCGTTAAATTTGAAAAATAGCCTCTCAAATTCTTGACTTCTTTTCTTTTCTTTTCCGTTTGTATTTGTAATGATGTTGAAACCAGTCTGTAAGGCATGAAGCAGCTAAATAATATATAGTATGACTTATAAACTCAAGTTCAAAGAGTAAGTTCAGTACTGATTCTTTCTGAACTGTCATATTTCATTGAACCTAAGATGCATTCCCTCTACCTGCCCCCCTTTATAGCATCTCTGAAATCGGACTATATCTTGCAGTTGATATTTATAATATAGCTTAAATGGCAGGGCTTTTTTCATTTGAGGTTTTATATTTTAAAATAATGTGTCCTCTAATGAACGATGTCTTAGGTTTTGTGATATGTGATATTTGTCAAAATACTGCAATCTCTCCCACCATTAAGGACGTCGTTTCTTCCTCACACCGTTATGTTTCATTGCTGTCATTCATTGCTTTGATAAGGAGTGAGCTGAAGTTATCTTAAGATGTCCAAGAATCTGCGGAGCACGAAGAGTCCTTGTGCAGCATGGCTGCTGTGTCATCACGACACCAAAATTAATTAGCCCTTTCAGTCAGGAAATTGAACTGGTTGCTTAGTTCATTTCACTGAGCAGTTCTCAGGGTTACAGCATTATCACCTGGAGAGCTCATGAAAACACAGATCATTGCCCCCACCTATATAGTTTTCACCCAGTAGGTCAGGGTGGAACCTGAGAATGTGCATTTCCAACAAGTTTTCAGGTAATGCTATTGTTGCTGGTCCCGGACCACACTTTGAGAATCACTCACTGTTCTAGACCAAAAAACGAGCTGGATCAAATTGCAGTGAATTGAGTTTTTCATGTTTATTGATCGTGTTGATGTCATGTGGCTGCATTTCATGCTGCTGGAGGTGCTGTGGTGTAACACTCTCCACATTTGACAGTTTTACCTGTCTAGCATAATATATGCATTTATACAAAGGCATGGTTCCTTAAGTCTAAGGAATTTTGTCTTATTTTCCAGAATCATGTTTTCAGTTGTGAAATATATCATGTACTCAGATGAGTGTAGAAAACATACATGACCAGTTTAAAGAATAATAGTAAAACGAATACCACCACTCAGATTAAGAAATAGAAACTTAGCAGTGATTTGGGGGCTTCTAGAGTGTACCCCTTTCCTTCCATCAAGAGGTAACCACCATCCTGACATTTTAAAATTGTGGTAAAATACACGTAACATTAAATACGCCATCCTAACCATTTTTCAGTGTACAGTTCAGTAGTGTTAGGTATATTCACATTGTTGTATAACAGATCTCCAGAACTCTTTTCATCTTGTAAAACTGAAACCCCGCCCATTAAACAACTCCCCTCCCCCACCCCCGGCCCCTGGCTGCCACCGTTCTTTCTGCCTCTGACTTGGACTAGCCTCCGTACCTCATGTAAGTGGGATCATGCAATACTTACCTTTTAGTGACTGCGTTTATTTCTCTTTTTTTAAAAAAGATTTTTATTGGGGAATTGGAGTGATGGGAACAGTGCTGGGGAATTGGGGAAGGGGAACAGACAAGTTGCTGTTGTTTTGTTCTTCAGTCTAGTTGTGGAGGACGTTGCTTCACTGGC